TTTTTTTGGTTTTTCGAGACAGGGTTTCTCTGTGGTTTTGGAGCCTGTCCTGGAACTAGCTCTTGTAGACCAGGCTGGTCTCGAACTCACAGAGATCCGCCTGCCTCTGCCTCCCGAGTGCTGGGATTAAAGGCGTGCGCCACCACCAAGACAGGGTTTCTCTGTGTAGCTTTGGTGCCTGTCCTGGAATTTGCTTTGTAGCCCAGGCTGGCCTCAAACTCACAAAGATCCACCTGCCTCTGCCTCCTGAATGCTGGGATGAAAAGCCTGTGCCACCACCACCTGGCTATAAATTCACCCTTTTAAAAAGACATGTTATTTTTAAGTGTGTGTGTACCTATGTGAATGCTGGTGGCAATCAGGTCCAGAAGAAGGCTGCCTAAGAGGGCACAGGGAACCTAACACTAGTGTGTGCTCTAACCACTGAGTCATCTTTCCAGTCCCCTACACAGTCATTATACTAAATCTGTTCTCTGTAATCCTTCACATAAGCAATGTAGTGAGCTGCCTAAGAGGGCACAGGGAACCTAACACTAGTGTGTGCTCTAACCACTGAGTCATCTTTCCAGTCCCCTACACAGTCATTTATACTAAATCTGTTCTCTGTAATCCTTCACATAAGCAATGTAGAAACAATGTAGAATGACATTAAATGGTTAAAGCTACAGTTACACTGTTAACCTGTGATGGTTAGCACTGCTAGTCTAACTAACTGGATCCACAAACACTAAGAGACAATTCTACTCCATATTATCTGGATTAGAGTGGTTGAAGGGGTAACATTCCCTGGGCTAAGGTTCTATATACAACATAAAAAGGAGAGAGCCAAGTGAGCACAGCATTAAGGTCTCTGCTTCCTTACAGTGGACTTAAGGTGACCACCTACCTCCTGTTCCTGCTACCAAATCTTCTCCTCCATAATGGACCATAACCCTAGAACTATAAACCAAAATAAATTCTTCCTTTCTCAAGCTGCCAAAAAGACTGATATCCAAACACTGTAATAATATTTGCATTTAAAACTTAAGTCAATATTATAAATATAAGTATATAAGTAGTGGGACCACTTAAGTTTTTTAATATTTATTTATTTATTTATTTATTATGTATACAATATCTTGTCTGCATGTATGCCTGCAGGCCAGAAGAGGGCACCAGATCTCATTACAGATGGTTGTGAGCCACCATGTGATTGCTGGGAATTGAACTCAGGACCCTTGGAAGAACAGGCAATGCTCTTAACCACTGAGTCATCTCTCCAGTCCCTTACATTGTTTTTAAAACTACAAATTCTTTCCTATTCAGCTCTCTCACCCACCTAAGGTCACCAATTCACAGCAGCCCTCACTAAAAACCCCTCCTCAGCAATCAATCACCTGGTGTCACATAAGTAAACACCCATTCAGATTTAAGCCACCACCTTTACATGACCACACCTCTAACCTAGGTCTGTCCTGAGATCTGAACAGCCACATCCAAGAGTCTGCCTGCTGAATAGTAATTACACTTTGATGCACCCTTATCTCAGTTAGCTCACAATCCATTCACTGCCTTCTCTGCTTTTCAGTCCCGCCAGTATCCTATATTTTCTGTTTAGTTAAAAGTAACAGGGCATTCTCTGTTCTGGTATCTGGGAGTCACTAGTTTTACAGTAACTGTCACTATTCACCAAAATTTTCAATGCTCCTTCTAAGTGCACGGTAAAATTAGACTTTTCTACTTCATGAACTTAGTTGTGTCCAAATAATTTGCCTTGGTGGATCAACAGAACTAACATCTGGGTTCTGCAGAAGCCTTAAAAGCACACAGCTTAGCCCCTTTCCTCTGCCACAGCCACCAGCAATGTTCCAGAGACAGAAAGCTGATGGTTCACTTCATCTCAGTGCTTCACTGAGGCCAGTTCTCAGTGAGAACCACCAAGGAGTGTTAGGAAATAACCTCTCTTGTCAAACTGAGCTCTGAATTGCCAATCCTGAGTCACTCCTGATCCTTGGCCTTTCCAACTTCCTCATCTCCCAAATACAAGTCACCCTAAGTCCTTCCTCATTCTCACTACTGATGTCTTAGTTCAGGACCTCAGCAATGCACACCTGGATCATTTTACAGTTCCCAAGTCAATCACTCTTTGTCTAACTTTAATCCCTTATTAATGGTCTTCCACAAAAGTGCCAGTGTGATCCTTAAACCCTAAACTGCATCACATCCCTTAAGATTACATTTCCTTGGAGGCGCCTTTGTGTTCCGGCTTCATTTTATATATATCCAAAACTGCAGACATATATTCTGGGCATGGGGACTCTGGGCATGCTGCTGCACTCAGGGAATCTAATTTCCTCTCTGTCTCTCCTTTACACTAATTCCACCTTTCTTTAAGACTCAAGTCTCAATCCTCTAAAACCATCTAAAGATATCACAGGCCTCAGGCAGCCCTCGCTGAGCACCATATGCAGCTTCAGCAGGGCATTAGCACAATTTATTTGAACCCCCTCCCCCAACACATTCTATAAGTTTCTCTAGCCCCTTCCACAAGAGTCCACTTCACTGGCTGAACACACCACCTAATTTGGGTAGGCAGGCTTGAAAAGACAAACTCAGAACAATCAGACTCTTTCTAGAAAGAGGCTTGTGTCAGATGCGGGAGTAGAGAGTAGGTCCATAAAGAAACAAAGAAGCTACACAAAGACAAACAGCCTCTTGAGAGAAAAAGGCAGAGTCACTATGATTGCAGCTACCTTTCTGATTCCCAGTCCCAGGACCCAGGAAGCCTCACTGTTCTATGGCCATTACAGCCTTTATTCTTCAGTTTAGCAAAGATCTTTTTTAACAAACGCCAGTACAGGAGATAGGTAACACTTTCTGTCCTTCCCAGCTAAAGCGAGTCAAAAGCCTACTAAAGCCCTAGGAATTACAACAGGAATATGTTCAGCCCTCGCTCTAATCAAGAATCTGACAAGCCATCCATCACT